ACCATTTGCTGTTATTCCTATTATTAAGTGAAAGCAGCAAGGCAAACTCATTTTTTTCAGCCTGCAGGAAAATGTCTCTACCATGCTATTCTAGTGACCCTGAAATATCCACATAGGCCGTATAAGCAAAGTTAGACTATAGTGTGATCTAGGTCTTGGCAGAATATACTATGATCCTCTGGGAGTGTGGGAAGGTAAGTAACTTTTGAGGAATTGCCTCACTGCTATTTCGTATCCATCTTTTGACCTTGTAGGGGGCCCTCAATCTGCCATGAGGCAGTTTCTCACACTACTTCTTAGTTCCAGATAAGCATAGAACTTGCCACTTCACTTACCCCGAGTACACAGTGTAAAGTATCTGGCTGTAGTGCAGAGTTGACCCCACAGCAACAGTCTACCCTACTGCTCAGGTTACCTGCCATCTGGACCCTTTTACTTTGTTATTATCCCTTGATCAAAGGATTTGAGGAGCTGATTCAATAGTGATCTTGTTAGTACTCTTTGTCTAAGTAATAATCTCCTGCCTTTGAGGGCCATTGTTTTCCTATTGATGAATCTGTGAAAATCTGTTCAGAATGCCTAGCGGCTCCCAAAGCACCACCACTTATGGACTGTTTGGTCTTGTCAGTAATGGAGAAAGAAATTTGTTTACTTTGTTCAACATTACTTATCTACTGTGTGATCCATCTATAGCATCTGGCACGTAGTAAGTTCTCTTTAAGTATTTGTTGAATTAAAACTTTATAGCAAACAATGATAGGCAGGTATTCGAAGACAGTATAGTCAGGGATATTTATAGAAGATCCATAGAGTGGAGACCTAGGGAGAGGGAAGGATGGAGAATATAGAGAATGAAAAGGACACTAAAACAAAACAAAGTACTGGCCTTGTACTCATGAGGGATACAGAAACACGTCTGTGCTGGTTTGAATGAGAATGCTCCCTGCAGGCTCATATATTTGAATGTCTGCTTTCCAGCTGGTGGACTGTTTAGGAAGGATGAGAGGTGTGGTCTTATTGGAGGAGGTGTGTCACTGGGGTAGGCTCAGTCTCTCTCTGTATGCAACTTGTAGATATGATGTGAGCTTTTTAGCTACTTCTCAATTGCCCTGCCTATCTGCCTGCCACCACACTCCACATCATGATAATCATGGACTAATCCTCCAAAACTGTAAGCAAGTCCCCCATTAAATGATTTCTTTTGTAAATTGTCTTGGTGATGGTGCCTCATCACAATAGAAAAGTAACTAAGACAACATCTATATCACCAATGATGGAAAAACTCTAGCTCTCTTATCATTCTTTTATTAATTCATTAGGAGTATTTGATACCTTATGAGCTCAAACTTAATATAATAATATAAATAGGAGAGGCTAGATGAACATTCTTCGAAGGTGCTTCAAGGAGCCCCTATCATTCTTATTAGATACTTCATGGATGATGGTAGCTTTTTCATCAAGGAAATGGTGATTTTATGTGTTAAGATCTCTCATAAAAGTGTATTTGGGAAAAAAAGGCTTGACAGTTAAAACCAAAGTAAAACAAGTCTGTAAACCACAGACTTAGCTGCAAAACAAGTCTGTAAACCACAGACTTAGCTCAAGCTCCAGCTGGAAATATTTTATTATAGATTAAGACCAGGGAGACTGTGTAGTTACATACACACAAGTAAGTAGCAGGGGTATAATAATAGGCCATCAGAATTTGAATAATGTCACTCTTTAGGTTTGGGATTAGAAGGAAAGGACAAAAAACAAAGTGTTTTAAAAAGACTTTGGACTGGGTTGCTACATATCAATCAAGTCCAAACTCACTTAAAATATTAGCCAATGTTGAGGTTCAATTTTCTCCACATTTTAGTTTTTCTGATACAGAACTGAATCATACAATTGATGTGTATCTGTTTGATGTAGCTATCTTTTCTTTAAAACATTTTGATGAAATGAATGACAGGTTTATAATGTACGGATGTCTTAGATACAAAGAAACACCATATTATCAATAAGAAAAATAAGCACATAAAATCAAGCAAGAACTATTTATCTTAGTTGGGTTTCTATTGAGGTGATGAAAGACCACGACCAAAAGCAACTTAGGGAAGAAAGGGATTATTTTGGCTTGCAACTCTCAGGTCAACTCCATCACTGAGGGAAGTCAGAATGGGAACCTGTATGCAAGGATTGATGCAAAGGATTTGGTGAAGTGCTGAGTGCTGGCTTGCTTTTCCTAGGTTACTCAGTTTGCTTTCTTTTACAGTCTAGGATAACCTTGCCAGGAGTGGAAAAGCCCACAGTGGACTGGGCCCTCCCACATCAATTATCAATGAAGAAAATGCACACCCCAATTTGTCTACCAGCCAATCTGATGGAGGCATTTTCTTAACTGAGGTTCCTTCTTCCCAGATAAGCCCAGCTTGTGCCAAGTTAGCAAATGGGTTAGCAATCTCTTTACTCTGAGTCTTACCAGTGACTGAAGAAATGAGAACGGATGTCAACATTCATCTACTCATAGGAACAAAATCAAGCTAAAATTTGGGAGTTTGATTATTTACTGTGCGGGGAATCAACCCCATGACCCCTGCATACTTCTATTTCTATTACTTTTTCTGACATCAATACTTCCAACTCAAGTCAAAAGTTCTGTTTTGCGAGTCACTTGACCAGTATTTCATTGTCTATACTTATTCTTGATTCTTGCTGGGTGGTGGTGGCGCACGCCTTTAATCCTAGCACTTGGGAGGCAGAGGCAGGCGGATCTCTATGAGTTCGAGGCCAGCCTGGTCTACAAGAGTTAGTTCCAGGACAGCCTCCAAAGCCACATAGAAACCTTGTCTTGAAAAACCACACACACACACACACACACACACACACACACACACACGATTCTTGTTATAGTCACCATTTATTCAAATATGCCATGCTTTTAGCTTGGCTTAGAAGGCCTTTCTTTGCATGCTGTATGCTGTAGAAATTCTCTTCCTCCAAATGGAATTCACTAATCTTTTTCTGCTTTCTATCATTCCATACCTGTTACATGCTTCCACACACGTGCTGACCACAAAGAACTCCAGGGATTCTTTTTTAGACGTCTATCACGTTCACTGTAAATTTCCTGAGAAGAGTTGGCTATTTGTGAATTCTCTTTTGATGTTAGCACTTAGAACAGTGTTTGGTATGTAGTAGAAATCAATTGTTTAAAGATGAAAGGAAAGGAAAGCAAGAAAAAAAGAACAGTATAGAAGTGAAGAAGTGGGGGGTTGAAGTATGGCTCAGCTGGTAATACACTTGCCTTGTAAGCACCAGGACATGAATTTGGGTCCCCTAAACCTACATAAAAATGCCAAGTATAGTGACTCATGCTTGTAATTACAGAGCTGAGGAGATCAGGACAGGAGGATAGGGCTCTCTGACCAGTCCAGTCTAATTGGTAAAGTCCAGGCCAAAAAAAGACCTGTCTCAGAGGAGGTGGATGGTGTTCCTGAGATGAGACTGACACCTAAAACTGCCCTCCAGCCTACACACACACACACACACACACACACACACACACACACACACACACACGGACAGGGGTGTCATGGCACTAACAATGTTTTATTTGATTGTTTGTCATTGGTGTCCATGCCTTATCCAAACCTGAACTCCTGTTAGTCTTACAATTGCCTACATTGAGTTTAATTGCTTAAAACAATTTATCTTTAATGGGTTTTTATCTCTAGTTGATTATAAATTCATTAGAGAGGAAGCACAAATATTCTCTACATATTCTTATTTGGTTTCAGATAAACTGTATATTCCTGTTACGAGATATGATTTAGTTTCCAAGGATCCTTTATTCAGGATACCTTTAATATTAAAACTAATATCAATTTGCATAATAAAAAGGATAGACTTGCAACAGTTTTATTTATTTAGAGCCTAGAATTTCTCCAGAGCTTAGAGCAATCCCCAACACTAGACATCAAAAACATAATTTTACAGTAATTTAAGGGAGAGAAATTTGAATATTACTGGTAAGACCCTGGGAGCTAATTACTTCAAGATCACTTGAAATCTTAACTCATTAGAGTTTGAAAAATCTCCTGAGGTACTTAAAGTCACTATTCCCATTATGTTACTTGATTCAATTGAATGTCTTAGATTTTGTTAATAAGAGAAAACTTGAAGCTACTGCCAAAAGGAGAGTCCATTTATCATTTTCTTGAGAAAAGATATTAAACATCTCCTGTGGGTACCTCAGCATTCAATAATATAAGAGAAGGAAAAGGATTTAAAAAGAATAGCCCCTGATCTAAAAAAAAAAAAAATAAAATTCTAACACCAATTACTTTTACATGTTGCCAAAGTGAGCTGAATTTCACATTCTAAGGTTGACTCAGACTTTTCAACAACATCATTAAGGGGATGGAATAAGCAACACTTAAGTGCTTTCGTTCCTATTATTGGCATTGCTATTGTTAGAAATGGTGACATGGTCCCCAATGAGCTGTGGCGTCACTCAAACGAGGGAACTAAGCAACATTTTACAATTATTTTTAGCAGTAAAAATCAGGTCTGAAAGAAAATGCTTTTTTGAAATTCCCCATTACAAGCTGAGTCATCCCAAGAATAGAAAAATAACAGATAAGACAGATTCAGGGAAGGAAATATTTTATCCCATTTGGCCTGTAAGCTCATCAGGAGGTAATAACCAGTCACATTAGCAGACAGAACATGAATGGAAGCATATTCAGTATAATATTAGGTCGTGTTAATATGACTAGAAATAGTGCATTGTGTCATATGACCTTGCCATGTTTATTTGTACATTTTGTGTAACATGTATAAGCTCAGGTGGTTTTTGGATGCGATCCATTTTAAAAGATCCCGTCAATCCCCTGGTACCTTAAGCACAGCAGCCCCCACTTGCAGTTTACATATTTGTTTACAATCCTACAAAAATAGCAGTTAGTTATCTATAATGGTCATACACAAAATGGGGAAGAAGAGGCGACACTTACCACCAGCTGCTGACAGCATGCTGTCGAAGGATCCTTTCTTGATAGTCCAAGGTATATGTCCTCAGTTCCCACAGTTTGTTGGAATACAATCTCATAACTGAAAAAAAATCAATGACGATGCTCAGGCGAAAGAGTCATTTCATGTCACAACTTCCAACATGCATTAGAGACTTTTTGAGGTTAGTACAGAAAAAGAAAGAAAGGAAATTACTAACATTCCTAAAGTGCTCACTAGTTTTCAAATATGTACTAGAATACAAAGGAATAGAAGTCTAGCAATGCAGTCAAAATGTAAACACTGGAGCAGGACTGAGACTTTGGACATACTGTTTTCTAAAATAAAGCTTACCTGTTTCAGATCTATGACAAATCAGTGAGTTGAAGGAACTTCTGGTACAGGCCCAATAAAATTACAAGTAAAAAAAGAATCATCCCTTGAATACAGTGGCTCAGAAAATACTGGACCCATACCCATGGGATTGATGGATAGATAAAAACACATCCTTTACTGAACGTGAACCACAAAGTGAAGATAATCTAGATTCAGTCCTACTGTCTGTCATCAACTGTGTGACCTTGGTGACATTACAAAGGCACAGCATCTTGACTTCTACATTTGAATGATTTATGGGAGAGACAGAATTACCTGATCTCGATGGTCACTTGCACTTCTAAAGTTCTACTGCAGAAACAGTAGTAGTATACTTGTCATAGCTAGACTGTATGGGGTTTTGATGAAAACATGAAAGGTTTTCCTCATGTCTCTCTCCTCTCTCTCTCTCTCTCTCTCTCTCTCTCTCTCTCTCTCTCTCTCTCTCTCTCTCTCTCTCTCTCTCCTCTCTCTCTCTCTCTCTCTCTCCTCTCTCTCTCTCTCTCGTCTCTCTCTCTCTCTCTCTCTCTCTCTCTCTCTCTCTCTCTCTCTCTCTCTCTCTCTCTCTCACACACACACACACACTTCAGAAATATTTCCTTTGAGGTACCCTATCCATTCTGATAAAACTAAACAATGATTTACAATTTTTTCTTTTTCATCCTTCTCCCCCTTTCCCCTCTTTTTCTCTTTTCTTATCTTTCTTCCCTTCCACCTCTTTCATTCTCCTCTTCCTCGCCCTTTCTTCTTTCAGTGCTTGGAATCTAAATGAGGGCCTCATACACACATGCTAGAAAGTGTTCTACCAAGGACCCACACTCTCAGATATATAAATTATTTTGATCTTTAATTATACCCAGAGAAATAATGCCACTGAAGATTAGAAGGATAAAAGACTGTTGAATTTCTGACAACGTGTAAATAAGAAAGTACAAGAACGAAAAAGAAATTTCTCTGAGTTTGAATGGGACTATCAATAGGTCATTGTTTGATATGGAAAACCTTTTTCTTAATAAGCTGTAATGTCTACCAAGTATTTACAAAGATGAATCCGTGTTAAAACAAGACAGAAGGAACTGACCTGCATGTACATGACTTCCCATATGAAATTTCTCAAGCTTCCGCATTTATTTAAGCAAAGAAAGGGTACAATTTTCCTATCTCATACTATATAGGCTTGCTTTGAAGTCCCCAAGGCACCAACACCATATAGATGAGATGTCTTCCTCATTTATAATCCTAAATAATAAACTCAGCCTCCTCTTTGATGCTTTCTTCCCATCCTTCATATCTAGTCAATTGTTAAATCTTCCTACAAACTCCCTGAAGTAATGACTCTTGAATTCCTACCCCCAAGTCAGTGACTCAGCTTAGGCCCTTGTTATTTTCCATTTGGTCACTGCAATTCCTCTTTTGTGAACTTTGTGTTCATTATCCATTTTCCTCTTTACCCATTAGGACACTTTTGAAGTGTATTTCCATAAGGTGAAAAAAATCCAGATAAAAATTCTTATAAAGCAGTTTTCTTCATGTCATGACTGGAGTTATTATTCACTTTGAACCTTGGCAGATGCTCTCTGGAGAACTTCAAATGTCTAGATGAAAAGCGGACATTTACTCTAGTTTTGAGCTCGCTGCATATGGATGTGAGGTGCTCGTCCTATAATATGACAAATGAGTGACTTTCATATAGATATGTGGGGGTCATAAAACCTGAGGGTTACTTTATTCATACAGGCATAGAGATGTGCCGCCTGCCCAGCAGAAAATGACATCTCTGAAGGTTCTTTGTCTCAAAGTATCCTATTGGGGCTTTTTCTTTTCTTTTAATTTCATCTTTTTTATTTTTAACTTTTTTTTCTCATTTTTACCCTACATGTCCTTTGTGTATATAATATGGCTTCCAGCTTTGTGTTTTTGTGGGATTCCTAAGTGTGTCAACAAGTGGGTGTCTGAGTCTATATTTGTTTCATGTACCTTTTCTTAGAATCTTTTCTGCTTGTTTTGTACTATTACAGTGCATTGTATTATTAAAAAATCTTATTATATATTTTATTATATTATTATTATCCTTTAGAAGCATGTTTTGTTTCTAATGAGAGAGAAAAAGAGGGTGGATATTGATGAGAGGAAAGGTGGAGAGGAACTGGGAGGAATAAAATGAAGAGAAACTAATCAAAATATATTATATGAAAAAATCTATTTCAATTATAAAAATGGATTTAAAATATAGGTACCCTATATGGAGGTTTTTTGCAAGACATAAACTTTTGTTGATTGAAAAACTAGAAATGAGGTAGCCAAAGCAGGATAAAAAGTTTGACATTTTTTTTACTATTCCTTTTGAGCCACGTGTTTATCTTTGTAGCAATTAATTAACTCATTTAAAATGCATTGTACCCAAACTATTTTATTTTTATTTTAAACTAAAAACACAGAGATGGATAATTCTGCCAAATATTTATGATGTAAGATGTTCAGATTATTTGTAAATTTTCAGATGCCTTTATAAACAGCTCTTAAAGACTATCTACTAGAGATGTATCTGACATAGGCTTAGCTACTCAATGGACTGAGGTGGCTAGTTTTATGTCAACTTAACACAAGCTAGAGCCACTGGGAAGGGAAGAGTCAAAACTGAGAAATGTCTCCAAAAGATCAGGTCGTAGGCGAGCCTGTAGGGCATCTTCTTATTTAGTGGTTAGTGATGGGGGAGGGTCCAGCCCATTGTGGGTTGGGTCACTCCTGGGCTTGTTGGTCCTGGGTGGTATAAGAAAGTAGACTGAGCAAGCCAGTAAGCAGCACCCCTCCATGGTTTCTGCATCCGCTCCTGCCTCCAGGTTCCTGCCCCGTGAGAGTCCTGTCCTGACTTCTTTCAGTCATAAACAGAAATGCTGAAGTATAAGCTGAATAAATCCTTTCCTCCACAAGATGCTTCGTTCATGCTGTTTCCTCACAATGACAGTAACCCTAACTAGAACATGGACCTTGAAAAAAAGTCACAAAAATGTTTTAAATCTTTGATTTTTTGAAAATATAAAACTTACAGGTCTTTGACATTACTTATAAAAATCTGTATCCTTCCTTTCAGTTAATTATCTGTGATCGACCACTGCTTTTATTTTTAAAACATAAAAGCATAATAAAAAATATATACCAGTTTTGTAGTCAGACTTAAAAAGTTTGTCAGATCACTTGCCTTAAAAGTCTTTCAGAATAAAGTAGACCAGACATGAAGAAGCACATTTGAAGGTGGAGGAAAGATCCCAAGTTCGAGGCCAGCTTAGGCAGTAGAGCCTGGCCCATTACAAAACAAAACAAAAGCTTAAAACTAACAAAGTACAGTATGATTCAGCAATGCTTGCTTTATATTCCTATGTACTTTAAATACTCATGATTTTAATGTAAATGTAAAAGATATAAATGTATACAAGTGTTTAAAAGTCTATTTAACCATGACTTTTATCTATGTATGTAAATATTTAATATACTGACCAATGAGCATAGCCCTGAAATATATAGTAAGTCCTGCATGATAATTGATAATTGAAGGGAAGTCATAGACTTGTACTGAAACTACAGAACACTCTGAGTAATTGAAAGTAGGTCTTTGACACACAAACATGGTATTGTAATGTGGCTGTATGCGTTTATAATTTAATGGGCTGCTTACTCTCACATTAAACAAAAAAGAAATTGAATATAAATTTAATAATGGAAATGGCTATATTTTTCACTAATGCTAGATAACTAATAGGAAGGCATTGAGTTTCATTATTTGTTTTTGTTCTAGAACAGAAAAAAATAACCAGTTGTTCATACTCTTTGTATAGCCTTGTGGTTTTATCTTTTATGTGGTGGAAAATTCATGAATTTTATTAAATTATAATATTATCAGATGACACATCGAACCTAAGTATCTAAACACATTCCTGGTCTCATTTGACTTACTCTGGGATTTCTCGAACATCCCATATATCATCATGCTCTGCTCCTTCCGGAACTTCGTCTGGATTCCAGATATTCTCACTTTCAGTACCACTGGATTTAGGGATGGCTGTGAAGAAAGGAGAGACATAACTGAAGCCATTATTTGTTGATATAAATTACATTTAATATCACTATAGACCAAAATATTATATAAATGTAACAATAACTGTAGAAAAAACATATAAACAAAAGGAAGAAAATACAATAGCCTCCAACTCAGTAGCCTGGAGATAATCAGTGTAGTTAACCTGGTGGTATACATATTTTTCAGAAACCCAAATAGGTTCTTGTGTAAAATCTTTACATAAAGGAAAAATTGAGGCACAAGCAATCCAATTTGGATAGAGTTATATCATCTTTAACTGAGTTTTACTATAAAAATCCTTTGGCACATTTTCTGTGTATGCATTACACATTTTTTTTAAAAAAAAAGTCATGTCAATCAAAGAAATGGAAAACAATGGTTGGAGTGATTACTTTTCAATGCAGTATTCTCCTACTGTGCATGCTCACTTTAAGGAACTTTTCTATCCCTTGTCCTTTATGCAGAGCTGAGCAGGTGCCTGGCTTTCCATGTATAATCTTTAAATGTTTAAAAGCATGTAGGCTCCAGTAAGCATGCAAAAGCCCGGGTTGAATTTGTTCCATTGGCACATCAAATGGAGACCCATATTAGGCTCAAAACATTACTCTCAGCCTTTTAAGCTTTCCCAGAAATGCACCTGATTGTCAGGTTTTCCATTCCACAGTTCTTTGCAAATCATCTGCTTCTATCCAGCGTGAGCATTCCAAAACCTAAGTGCAGGCTTATACATAACATTTTACATATGACTCATTGCCCTCCAATTTTTGAGATTATTAGACCTACATTTATTGGGAAAATGGCAGCATGGAAATCCATGCAGATATGAACTAGTCTGTCAGAAGGCAAATATCTCTGAGGTAGAGCAAAGAGCCTCTTGAGTACATACAGTAATATTAACTAAAATTTTAAAACCACCCTCAGACCTCATTTTATCCATTATTTTAAGCATTCTACACACTGTCTTTAAAGTCAGTTAATTTGATGAACACAGTGTTCTCCTTTCTGCTCATCCTCTGGTAACTCTGGCCAGGAGCAGCAGAACTAACGATTTTACATTTTCAAAGACTTGTACAATATTCAATTCTGGGAAAATGTATAAACAAAATGCTTGGCTGTCACAAAAAAACAGACTTCTTATTTTTTAAACTGTGGTTTGTTTATTGTCTTAGGTGAGTATCTAACACTGAACTACAATCCTAGCCCCTGGGTCAGTGATTTTTTTTTTTAAGGAACACTATGAACTTTAGAAGCATTTCAATGTAAGGTAAAATTATGTAGCTGTTTGTTTTATTTTCTTCTTCAGAATTCTCTTTTTTTTATTGATTTTTTTTGAGCTCTACATTTTTCTCTGCTCCCCTCCTGATTTCCTTTGTAGTCTCAAAGATTTTTATATTGCCTGGTATATATTTGACTCTCAATGTATTTAAATATTCAATAAATACTTTTGAACTTGTTTTAATAAATGGATTTTGTGAAATTGCTACACTATACAAGTGTGAAAAATTAAAAATGTAGGTCTTGATATTTCTATTCTTGCAACCGAAGAAGAGCAATGTGCCTAAAATTAAGCCTAATCATATATGATTTACTCAGTCTTTTATCTCAGAAAATGCACCAAGGAATGTAGCTAGTTGAAGGCAAATTAACTCTGCTTATTAGAAAAGCACTAACCTGGCACAGAAGTAAAAATGACATCTTTGCATGGAAATGGCTGTTCAGCATGTGCATGATTGCTTCAACTTACCTTCTTTTGTTTTTGTTTTTGTAGACAGGATTTCTTTGTTTAACAACCCTGGCTGCCTGGGAACTCACTCTGTAGACCAGGCTGGCCTCAAACTCAGAGAGATCTGCCTGCCTCTGCCTCCTGAGTGCTGGGATTAAAGGTGCGTGCCAGCTGAGGATAGGGAACTGGAAATGACCCTAGCCTATAGCGATACTGACGAATATCTTGCATATCATCATAGAACCTTCATCTGGTGATGGATGGAGAAAGAGACAGAGACCCACACTGGAGCACTGGACTGAGCTCCCAAGGTCCCAATGAGGAGCAGAAGGAGGGAGAACATGAGCAAAGAAGTCGGGACCACAAGGGGTGCACCCACCCATTGAGACAGTGGAGCTGATCTACTGGGAGCTCACCAAGGCCAGCTGGACTGTGACTGAAAAAGCATGGGATAAAACCGGACTCTCTGAACATGGCGAACAATGAGGGCTGATGAGAAGCCAAGGACAATGGCACGGGGTTTTGATCCTACTTAATGTGCTGGCTTTGTGGGAGCCTAGCCAGTTTGGATGTTCACCTTCCTAGATATGGACAGAGGGGGGAGGACCTAGGACTTACCACAGGGCAGGGAACCCTGACTGCTTTTAGGACTGGAGAGGGAGGGGGAGAGGAGTGGGAGGAGGGGGAGAAGGATGGGAGGAAGGGGAGAAGGGTGGGAGGAGGGGGAGGGAAATGGGAGGCTGGGAGGAGGTGGAAACTTGTTTTTATTTTCTTCCTTTTCTCAATAATAAAAAAAAACGAAAAAATAAATAAATAAAGGTGCGTGCCATCATTGTCCGGTTCAACTCACCTCTTTATCTTTTAGAAATTGCATGCTTGTATTGAATTGAGAAATTAAAAATTAATTTGTTGTCATGTGCAACATACTGTTTTGACATATACATACATGATGGAATGACTGAATCAAGATATATATGCATTACTTCACATATCCATCATTTGTAGTGAAAACCCTTAAGATGCACCTTCATAGCAATCTAAAGTATCTTATATAATGCCATTTACTTCATTTTATTAAATATTAGTTTTTATTAATCTGAGGAAAATACTCCATTGATTTGATCGATCTATCTTACTTTACTAAATAACTTACCTTTAGGCTCTTTGGCTTTAGGTGGCCCAATATTCCCAGGGCTCATGGCTCCAATAGCAGGTGAGAGTTGTTCCTTGGGTAGAAAAAAAGAAGTCCACTACTTGTGTACAGCATATATCGCTACCAATAATTTAAATCCGATGTTTTCTATCTAAAAAACACAACCCCCATAAACTGTTCCACTTTAATCATTCACTATTGTTATACAACAAAGACACAGGTGCCAATTATTACCTTCAATGTGCTTTTCTTGTCCTTTCAAAAAAAAAGTATTTGGTTTAATAGACTCTGAGGCTGAATTGATTTTTTTGGTCGAACTAAATCCCTGGTTCCAGCCCAGTGAATCTTATCCCCCTTGGGAGAGAAGGAATGAGCCACATTCATCTCTATGAAGGTTAGAACCGAATGGTAGCAGAAAAGCATCAGCTCTTTGGAGTTTGAGCAGTGTTTGGTTAGAGTTAGATGAAAGACAGACTTATGGGTGCATGCTATTCAAATAAGAGTAAACAGAAGCTAAGATCTAGACATCAAAGGATTCATTTAGAAGTCCTAATAACAGTTCTTCTCTCTTTCTGCTTTCGGGGTGAAACATTGCTCCTTTTCCCACTTCCTAATTCAGCAACCTCCAGCTTATAGTGTCAGATGAAGGCCAAATCACTTCTTTTTTCATACAGCCATTTGCTTCTTTTGCCATCTTTCTTATGTTTGTGTGTGTGTGTGTGTGTGTGTGTGTGTGTGTGTGTGTGTGTGTGTGCGCGCGCCCACCCTTGAAGAACTCTCTTCACTCTTTCCAGCCCAGTGCAACACATATTTACTCCATCACCTCATTGGCCCCTTCCAGCGGGTCTTTGATATTTCAAGACAATCTCAAGTATCTTCCTAATTGTTCATTCTAATCTCAGACTCTGAAGTTCTGATTCACTCCATTAATGACTGTCAAAATATCCTTATTTCTATGGGTTCTGGTATACTAGCACTTCAAAGTCCCCCTTTTTAATTCTTGCCCTCATAGTCCAAGACTTTAGACACGGACAAAACTGCAAAGTCCTGTTTGGGGGAGAGTAGTAATGGCTGCCCTTGTATGTTGTTGAAAAAGCTCATCTAGGTCTCTATTATGTTAAACTATCCAAACAGTTATAAGTGGTAAGTTAATTTGTAAAATCTCAACAGTGTGCGAGACTGTCACTACTGTTTTTGGAAATGGTTATCTAAAACTCTGTGTGGAGTTAAGGAACTGCAGATATTTTTATGTGAAAATCCCAATAGCATTCTGGACCTATTTTTTCCCTCTGTTTTATCACTAAGGTCACAAAAATGTGTGGTACTTTTATTAGATTATTAATCATCAGAATATTAATAGTCAATCAGAGCAAAACAATTCTTAAAACATAAGGGCTTCTTGTTTTGCAGTGCCTCTTTCCACAGAAAATTTAAATCAGTAGAAATGAAACTGTGACCATTCTGGCAAAAATTGATATGCTCTTCCTGGACAGTTATGATTGGATGAGTATACTAGAGCAGGGGGGAGTCTCAATTTATTAACTTAATGAAAATAAATGGTTAAAAATAAAATTTCAAGTGAGAAGGTAGAATGAAATAATAAAATACCACCTGGTAATTGTTTTCTATAAGGGCACTGTTTAAGCCTGTACCATGTATCTTCAGCCAATTATCTGAGCAATTTCTCAGTCCAATTCATGTCACTTTGTAATATTGGAGAGATTTTAAATATCCTTGTCACAGTGTCTGAAGATCGGTGGAATCTTATTTTCCCATAAGTCTTGAGATCACCCGGGAGTTTGAAGGACAACTCTTCGCAATCTCCCACGGAATTAACAACTCATTTAGAAGAGGGATGGGTGCAAATGAAGCAATGTGTATGCAACAGCTTTCTTGCTGTTTTCCAGAGAGTCGATTTTAGAAAACACATCACTCTTGCAATCATTTCCTAGTTCTCAGGATTAATACATGTTAAAAATGAAAGGCATTTTCTCCACAGGAAAATTTAATAGTTCAGTAGGAACATTAATTATTCTTCCACCATACTGAATCTCTAATTCTATTCCCTCTAATGCTATCTGTACCAAGATGTCTGAGTGACCAATTATCTCAAAATTGCTTATAACCCACATATACACAATCATATATTTTTATGGCATTTTCTATTATGAATTGTACAATTCAGTAACATGATGTTACAGTCTCTCTATTTTCATAAACAATCATCTTTCCTCCTACAAAAACCCCTAGATGCAAATAAACATTGCTACCCATAAACACCAAAGGGAAGGGGGTTTGTAACCAGTGCTGATCTTTACCTCTGCATCAGTTCCAATCACGAGTCTGCTTACCAATATTCAGGGCTTCTCAGGGCTTCTGTCTTCCAAAAGTTAACCTTCTCTTTCTATATCGTATGAGCCTGCCTTTCCCAGGATGTACCCTCAGAAAGTTAGCATTTTGCTATTTCATCTTAGGGAGCAAAATGTATGCAACTTTCCAATACTAATCCCCTTGATCCCCTTATGTTGTCTTATTGCTATTGCTAGAACTTCAAGCACTATATTGAAGAGGTATGGAGAGAGTGGACATCCTTGTCGTGTTCCTGATTTTAGTGGGATGGCTTTGAGTTTTTCTCCATTTAATTTGATGTTAGCTGTCGGCTTGCTGTAAATAGCTTTTATTATATTTAGGTATGACCCTTGTATCCCTAATCTCTCCAAGACCTTTATCATAAAGGGGTATTGAATTTTGTCGAATGCTTTTTCAGCATCTAATGAAATGATCATATCTTTTTTCTTTCAGTTTATTTATATGGTGGATTACATTGATAGATTTGCGTATGTTGAACCAGCCTTGCATCTCTGGGATGAAGCCTACTTGATCATAATGGATAATTTTTCTAATGTGTTCTTGGATTCGGTTTGCCAGTATTTTATTGAGAAATTTTGCGTCGATATTTATGAGTGAGATAGGCCTGTAATTCTCTTTCTTGGTTGGGTCTTTGTGTGTTTTTGGTATCAGGGTAACTGTAGCTTCATAAAAGGAGTTTGGCAATGACTCTTCTGTTTTTATATTGTGAAATACATTAAGGAGTATAGGTATTAGCTCTTCTTGGAAGTTCTGGTAGAATTCTGCATTGAAACCATCTGGTCCTGGGCTTTTTTTGGAAGGGAGATTTTTGATAACAGTTTCTAGTTCTTCGCAACAAACAGGTCTATTTAGATTGTTCACCTGGTCCTGGTTTAACTTTGGTATATGGTATTTATCTAAGAAAGTGTCCATTTATTTTAGCTGTCCACTCTCTCCATACCTCTTCAATATAGTGCTTGAAGTTTTAGCAATAGCAATAAGACAACATAAGGGGATCAAGGGGATTCAAATTGGAAAGGAAGAAGTTAAGCTTTCGTTACTTGCAGATAATATGATAGTATACATAAGCGACCCCAAAAACTCTACCAAAGAACTCCTACAGCTGATAAACACCTTTAGTAATGTGGCAGGATACAAGATCAACTCCAAAAAATCAGTTGCCTTCCTATACACTAAGGATAAGGAAACAGAGAAAGAAATCAGAGAAGCATCACCTTTCACGATAGCCACAAATAGCATAAAATATCTTGGGGTAACTCTGACCAAGGAAGTGAAAGATCTATTTGACAAGAACTTTAAGTCTTTGAAGAAAGAAACTGAAGAGGACACCAGAAAATGGAAGGATCTCCCTTGCTCTTGGATTGGGAGGATCAACATAGTAAAAATGGCAATTCTACCACAAGCAATCTATAGATTCAATGCAATCCCCATCAAAATCCCATCAAAATTCTTCACAGATCTGGAGAGGACAATAATCAACTTTATATGGAAAAACAAAAAACCCAGGATTGCCAAAACAATCTTATACAATAAAGGATTGTCTGGAGGCATTACCATCCCTGACTTCAAACTCTATTACAGAGCTACAGTATTGAAAACAGCTTGGCATTGGCATAAAAACAGAGAAGTCGACCAATGGAATCGAATAGAAGACCCTGACTTTAACCCACAAACCTATGAACACCTGATTTTCGATAAAGGAGCTAAAAGTATACAATGGAAAAAAGAGAGCATCTTCAACAAATTGTGCTGGCAAAACTGGATGTCAATCTGTAGAAGAATGAAAATAGACCAATATCTATCACCATGCACAAAACTCAAGTCCAAATGGATTAAAGACCTCAATATCAGTCCGAACACACTGAACCTGATAGAAGAGAAAGTGGGAAGTACTCTACAACACATGGGCACAGGAGACCACTTCCTACGTATAACCCCAGCAGCACAAACATTAAGGGCCTCATTGAATAAATGGGACCTCCTGAGACTGAGAAGCTTCTGTAAAGCAAAGGACACTGTCACTAAGACAAAAAGGCAACCTACTGACTGGGAGAAGATCTTCACCAACCCCGCAACTGACAAAGGTCTGATCTCCAAAATATATAAAGAACTCAAAAAACTAGACCGTAAAAGGCTAATCAACCCAATTAAAAATGGGGCACTGAGCTGAGCAGAGAATTCTCAACAGAAGAAGTTCAAATGGCCAAAAGACACGTAAGGTCATTCTCAACTTCCTTAGCGATCACGGAAATGCAAATCAAGACAACTTTAAGATACCATCTTACACCTGTCAGAATGGCTAAAATCAAAAACACCAATGATAGCCTTTGCTGGAGAGGTTGTGGAGAAAAGGGTACACTCATCCATTGCTGGTGGGAATGCAAACTTGTGCAACCACTCTGGAAAGCAGTGTGGTGGTTTCTCAGGAAATTCGGGATCAACCTACCCCTGGACCCAGCAATACCACTCTTGGGAATATACCCAAGACATGCCCTATCATACAACAAAAGTATATGCTCAACTATGTTCATAGCAGCATTGTTTGTAATAGCCAGAACCTGGAAACAACCTAGATGCCCTTCAATGGAAGAATGGATGAAGAAAGTATGGAATTTATACATATTAGAATACTACTCAGCAGTAAAAAACAATGACTTCTTGAATTTTGCATGCAAATGGATGGAAATAGAAAACACTATCCTGAGTGAGGTAAGCCAGACCCAAAAAGAGGAACATGGGATGTACTCACTCATATTTGGTTTATAACCATAAATAAAGGACATAGAGCCTATAATTAGTGATCCTAGAGAAGCTAAATAAGAAGGTGAACCCAAAGAAAAACATATAGGCATCCTCCTGAATATTAACCTTCATCAGGTGAGAAAAGGAGACAGAGACAGAGACAGAGACAGAGACCCACATTGGAGCACCGGACTGAAATCTCAAGGTCCAAATCAGGAGCAGAAGGAGAGAGAGAGCACGAGCAAGGAACTCAGGACCGCGATGGGTACACCCACACACTGAGACAATGGGGATGTTCTATCGGGAACTCACCAAGGCCAGCTGGCCTGGGTCTGAAAAATTATGGGATAAAACCAGACTTGCTGAACATAGCGGACAATGAGGACTACTGAGAACTCAAGAACAATGGCACTGGGTTTTTGATCCTACTGCACGTACTGGCTTTGGGGGGAGCCTAGGCAGTTTGGATGCTCACCTTCCTAGACCTGGATGGAGGTGGGTGGTCCTTGGACTTCCCACAGATCAGGGAACCCTGATGGCTCTTTGGGCTGACGAGGGAGGGGGACTTGATTCGGGGAGGGGGAGGAAAATGGGAGGCGGTGGCGGGGAAGAGACAGAATTCTTTAATAAATAAATAAATAAAAATGTATGCAACTTCGTGATAAATCGCACCTAACTTTTTTCCTTGTGTCTTATTTGTTGTGTGTATTTAATGCTACTATCGATGACTTGGTTTTGGTTTGTTTGCCTCTACCACAGCTTTTCTCTAAAACTCCATGTCTCCTCACCTTGGTTATCCAGGAAAAAATCGCAGTGGCCTTCGACTGGTAATTCTTCTATCCTAAATGAAGTCCAACTTGCTGCTCCAAGGTTTAAAGGTGCTACCTGTCCAGACCCCCAAATAAGAATCACCTGATTCTATAAGCATGTGGTAGAAAACCCTTGTTAGTAGATGGAAGCTTTTTCCCCTATTATTTGGCTTAAAGTATTTTGTTGTTTTCATATGTAGCCTTTTTAAAAAAAAATATTAAGAGACTGGGATTGAGAGATCAATTAATACTGCATAATTGAAAATATTTTCTTTGTAGAAATATTGTCTAGGCATAAATAGTCCCAGCTATGGCTCTTTGCAATGGTTGTCAAGCATTCTTTGACCATAAATATAAATGACAAACATTTTGAAATGTGGCTACTGCTACCATAGTTACAGAACTATTTTCCTATTCAGTGTTCAGGTGGTGTAGAAAAATATAATTATGTTTGCTAGAAATGTACTAGAGGTTATAGTCTCATGCATAATAAGCCTTCAGCCTCCTATGCGTGTATCAGGTGACACAGCTCTGCTCCCACAGCAAGGTGGGAATGAATTGTTCAAATACAGTTCCACAATTCCCTTTAACATAATTCATTTATCTTTAAGTATATGACAACCTGTCCAGCATCCAAATCATCCTCTTCCTCAGGATACAGTAGACTGGAAAGTGCTTGCAGGTCTGAGACAGAAGGCAATGTCTTAATCTTCATAGTTTTAGCTTCCATGCCTTTTGCTTCCAAATTTTCTGTTTCCATGTTTTCAGCTTCTGTGTTTTCTGATTCCATATTCTAAGGGGAAAAGATGACCAGGCACACCTCAGTTTTCTGGGACATAAAGATTTGTTCATTCTCATGTTTCCCTTCTTACACTGTCTATGTCATATTTGAAATTACTATAAACTCTTCCACGTATGTTAAAGTCACAGAACCTGGGCAGCAAAGTAAATCCACGCTTTCAGTCTGCTTTATGTTCACTCTAACGAGCACACACCGAGTAACTACGTAAGTAATTCTGGGGCTCTAGTGTGCTTAAGCGCCACTACGGGAAAAGCTTCACAGACAGCTCAACTGTAAAATGCTTGTCTACTATGCTCAAAGCCTGGATTCAATCCTCAGCATTACAAAAATAGAAAAAGAATCCCTTGGGGGCTTGATTAAAAGCATAAGTTGTTATAAGCTATGTTTTTAGACTATCTTTTTTTTAACCTGTTTCATATCTGCTGTTTAGGGTGTATATTCCAATTTGTGAACTGAAAAAGATTTTTCTTCGGGAATATATCCAAATAACCTTTACTCATTTCTCATATTTGCCCCAGGTAAGTGTGTACCTTTCTGCTTCATTTATACTGTTAATTAACCTTTGATGAAACCCAGCCTTATAATGACATTTGAAAACTCTAATGCATTGGCTCATTTTAGTGAGATTCATAAACAAAGAAACAATTTTTTTATTATAACAGTAACACTGAATCCTATCATCCTAGTAGCAATCTGAAAAATAATCCCTGCAGTTACAACCACAGCAGGACAGTTAAGATCTTAAAAATATATCTCAGAAGTGTCAGACTTTAATGAGTAACCCAAAAAGGATGGCAGAGTTGTGCTTATTGTTGGTAAATTGGGCATAACTAAAATAGGTATCTTTCCCACAATTTTACAGATATTTTATAAACATCATTTTCTAAACTTCACTCTCAGGAACATTTCTCTAGCAGTGTTAATTAAATTATACATGAAAAATTTGCATTGTGACTAGAATGGTAGTAAATCATCTGATATACTCACTTGTCAAAGTAGTAAAGATGGTATTTTTTAAAGTGTCGTTTTACAAACATTTTTACTTTTTATACAACTGACCTTGATGCCTCCTGGGGATGTCAAGGGTATGAAATGGTAACTTCCTCTATATCTCTAATATGGAGACAAAATAGAATACTGGCTAAGAATAAGGGGGCTGAGGTCATGCTGTTTGGAATTGGATCCATCATGTACTTCTTAGCTCTGTGGTTTTGAGCAATTATTTAAATTCTTTCCGCCTAATTTTCTTTATCTGTAAAGTAGAGGATAATAGTAGTGTCTGTCTCATTGAATTGCTATAAGTATTAAGTAGCTTAATACATATAAAAGAGCCTGGACTAGTACAGGGCATATAGTAAGCACTCAAGCTATGTTGCCTATTATTAGTTCTTTATAAGTTTCATTTTGCTGGGCATGAATATCACTTTTAATAGCGATGTCAAATAAGACAATGATAAATCTCATTACACTGAAAACTCATTAAATCAGAAAAGGTGAAATAAAAAGTGACAAAACAATTTCTCTTGTAGTATGGTCTTGTAGGCGGCCACGGGAATGAATAATTGGCACATATTAAATTAAACAAAAGGGACTTCTGTTTATATTTTAAATATATTTCCTCTTTGATTATGTGTTCATTAAATATTTAGCCAACATAGAAAGCAAAATGTTTATTGAAATATTTTCTCTTTGACAGTGAAAAGGAAAAAGCCACCCAGATATCAGATATAATTAGTATCCTGACTTGAAATGCACGAAACAATATATTCACAAAACAAATATATCAGAAATTGTTTCTTACATCAGCATTACTCTATAAACTTTACAATACATGGTCAATTATTCAACACCGATGACAGCTGTTGCTTAAATATGAATGTTATATAACATCATTATCTGAAATATAGTATCCACAGATACTTGTATGATCATGAGGCTTCTGAGAATTCAATAGGGGGCTAGGGAGAGAAGAGTAAACAGACCAGGAAGCTAAGCCGTAAGAAAGGTATTCAGAAGTTCCAAATATAGCATCTGACGTCGCAGTAGCAACAGTTACTCACATAGTCATCTCTCTCTGGCAGGGACACGACAGCAGGACTTTCTGGATGAAGAGAGGTATTTAGAGCGATGGAGGACCCCCAGGTCACAGGTAGAAGTATACAAGTAAGGGTCTAGTTATTGAGAAATGTCAGGAGTTTGGAAACTAGATGAATATTCAGAATAGGGCTGGGATCAAAATTCCAGAGGAAAAACGATGCACAAGCCAGGCCCTGCCTTAGTGGCTTTCTGTCATACATCAGCCACAGTGGAGGTGATAAAGGAAGATTATGGCTCAGAAAGTGTATTGGAGACAGGACAGAGGAAAAATAAATTAATTCTAAATTTCTACCAGTTACATGGGAAGGCCCTGACTGGCTCTTGGGTGGGAAGCAGGCAGTGAGGGCACAGGGAAGCTATACATATAGAAAGAACATCTTCATAAACCACAGCTGGAATTTAGTCCGCAGTTGATGAATACTGAATGAAATATGATTAAATTCACAAGAATGTGGCATTTCAAAATAGTAACCTTGGAAGGTTATATACTGATGTAAATGATATCATCAATGCTCCAAATATTTTAGAAATTTTCTTTTCTCTTGGTATTTCCTCCATATGTATCACTAAGAAAATAGATATCATTACAGCATCATTCAGTTTGATTACACATCAGATTTTTTTCTAAGTAATTTACAAATATATCTAGACATCTACATTCAAAATATGAAGATTTCCTTCTTTGAGAGTATTAAAAAGAATTTGATATAGGCCCCAGGGCAGTTCTAAAAATACTAGTCTTAAATGTAATTTTGAGTAACAGGAAGATCATATGAATAAGTATATTAGCTGCTCAATGTGACTCACTAAAGGGGAATACCACATCTTGGGGTATAGATCTGAGTTTAAAAATCTTCCACAAGAACTCTCAGTAATATTTGATATACCTGAAGCATATTGGGAATTGGACTTCCAAATTATGCTGACATAAAATCACAGTGACTCATATTATAGCTAATTGGAGCCCAAATAAGATAAAATGGGCACTTTTATAAAAATAATATTTCACTATACCAAATGTAATAACAGTCTGCAAGCAAATGATAAGTTCTGATAAATCTGATTATACAGTTTGAGAAACAAAAGAATCACAAATATTTTGTGAATAATTAAATAGCTCAAAATATCACCAAAGAAATCGTGTGAATTACTGAAAAAGTTGTAGATCCAATGAAAATGAAATTTCTACCAACATTTTAGTAGTCTAGTGAGTCAGAAATAGGATTAAATTAAAAGATAGTTATCAAAGCTCATTTCATACAATCATCTTTTTTTTAAAGACAAAGAAAGCATGTCTTTTCAGTTCTTTGTCAGTTAGATATGCAGTCTCAACTCTGGCAACCACTGATTTCAGGATATAGCCCTGGCGGCCACATTTTCTGCCCTTCTCACACATTTTTCTCCTATATATGTTCTACATTCTGTTAAGAAGATACGTTGCAACTTGCTGCCTTTGAATCGTAGAGTACATTCTTCTAATTACTGAACTGCTTGGGCAGACTAGTGTGGTGATATTTTGTAAGAAAAACTTTCTAGAGCTATTGGGCCTATGTTTCAATGCAGCATTTACACTTCTTTTATTCAGTCTTTGGGAACAATTTCGTATGTACAATTACATGATGAATTCTGATTCCTTTCTCTTCAACACCTTCACTTATCTCACGCTCCTATGAGTTCCTTCCCCAGATTAACAATTTGGGGATTTTATTTTGATAGACATTTCATTTAACCAGGGCCATCTGTGTGACCACAGAATTTGAAATTCCCATTGGAGTTGGTAGGGTCATCAGTGAGTACACAAAAACAATGTAGTTACCCTGCTTGAATCATCAGTAGGAAATAGTTCAGCAGTGAGAACTGGGGCTCCCTAGTCCTTCCTCCATCCTTGCCTGAATGCTGACAGGCATACTTTAAATAGGCTGAGATTAGGATAGGGGCTGTCAATAAAGTACCTGCCTAAAAATCCTATATGAGGTCTTGGGCTTGATTCTCAGCAAAGGGGGACTAGAGCATGAGAAAGAGCAAAGAATCTTTTTCTTAAGGCGTGGCCACTTAGAAAATAAATGTTCTAGGCCTGTTTTTTTTTTTTTCTTTCTTCCACTCCCTGGTCTGTTTTGACCAGCCAATATCAAAAGCAGTGTTTCCAGACAGAGCTTTGATTTTGCTACATCAATCCGAGCCTTTAGAGCCTTAAGAGATAAAAATGCAGTTGGGGGATATCTTGCTAAACAATTAAAACAACAGCTAGTTCAGAACCAGCTGGAACCAAAACACTGGGACGAGTTAGGGGCTAAAAATGTCTATCAAGAAGGCTCAAGATCTGACACTGAGGCATTATCAATAGCCTCGGGATCACCACTCTTTCTAATTTATTAATTTGTTTTTGGTCTTCATACATAGCCTCAGTAAGAATGACTAATCAACTACTTGGAGAAAAGTGAGGGGTAAGTTAGTCCAGTATACGTGTTTTACTAAGTATATCAAGTATAGAGAATAGTCCTAACATATTTTACTAAGTACACCCAGTACATGAAGTCAGGAAGTAAAAAATGAACAAAAATACCTAGGGGGTGTAGCTCCAGGGTAGAGTGCTTACCAAATGTGGAAGAAGCCCTGAATTTCATCCCAGGTGTTGCAACAGCAGCAGCAGTCCAACAGCATCCTGTCTGAACTTACTAGGTGAAAGCTTATCCCCAAGGCAAACTCTGTTGATGATCGAATGACCTCAACCATTTCAAAACCTGTTTATTCTTTAGGTTTAGCATTTCTTCTAAAACTTTGTTCATATAATGCCTTATTTAGCAATTCTAGCAGAAAAATTATTTTGAGAATGTAAAAGTAAACAGCATCTCTGCTCATGTCTGAATTTAACGACAATATTCTCACTAATTGTTTTTGTCTAGTTTTGGTCATACTTAGGATTTCTTTCTAGGGCTGAATGCTTATAAGTTCTTATTCCATTATGGCATACTAATGTATTCCTGTCATTTAAAAAATCTTAGTGAGGAAGGCTGGTAGGATTGCTCAGTGGTTAAGAGTCTATACTGCTCAGCCGGGCAGTGGTGGCACAGATCAGCACTTGGGAGGCAGAGGTAGGAGGATCTCTGTGAGTTCAAGGCCAGCCTGGTCTAGAGAGTGAGTTCCTGGAGAGGCTCCAATGCTACACAGAGAAACCCTGTCTCAAAAAAATCGAAGGAAAAAAAAAGAAAAAGAAAAAAAAGAAAGGAAAAAAACAGGTGTCCATACTCTCTTCAGAGGACATTACTTCAGTTTCTAGCACCCACATCAGACAGCTCAAACTGCCTGTAATTCCAGTTCTTGGGAGATCTAATACTGACTTCCAGGATCATCTGCACTCTTGTGCACATACCTCCCCACAGACACACATAACTAATTTTTGACAACGATACTCATCAGTAATTCTCTGTCTATTAAAAGTTAATTCAGTTATGGACTGGGGATGTAGTTCAATACGTGTATTCTTAAGCATGCCAAAGGTCCTTGGTTCAATAGGAAATACACTTGTTACATCTTTAAAACACAAGAATAGCTTCCTATTTATATTTCTATCATTCACTACCATAAAACATTCATAACTATGGGAGTTTAACACGTTTTCTCTTACAAACTTAAAATATAGTTAACAGAAAGTGTTTTTTTAAGTACCTGGAATCTTTAAGAAACATAAATGCAAGCCAGGCTTTGAGGTACAGCTACTCAGAAGGCTGAGGCAGTTCAGGCAAGTCTGAGCTACGAATTCAAGGCCAGCCTGGACAACTTAGTGAGATCTTGTCTCAAAATGAAAAACAAAAAGAGGGTATAGGGATAGGGTTCAGAGATGGCATGTTACCTAAAGATAAAAACATAAGCCTCGTTTGATTTAATAATTCCTGTGTCTGTACTTTATCGAGGTTATTTATAAAAATGGAGTCTCTACCATCCTTTGAAAGATGTGCTCTGTTGCTCTGTTTTTGAGATTTCCTACCTTAACCAGGCTGATCTTGAGCTCCTGGGTTCAGAGGAACCTCACACATCAGGATCCCTAGTAACTGGTCCAGTATGAGCTTGAAAGTGAGATTTATTTATTTATTTGTTTGTTTATTTTGAAAGGGAGTTTTCATACTGAGATGGAGATTTTTAATTTTTTAGGGCTCATCCTGAGCCATCAAAAACTATGTAGTATGTTCAAAATCCTAGCAGTTGGGAAGCTGCTAGCAGAAGGATGATGAGTTGAAGGGATCCTGGACTGAACAGCAAAGGGGGTGGGGTGGTATATAGCACATTTCAGGCAAACAACACATTTGGCAATAATCCTTTCTTAGTTTTATATTCAACTTATAAATAAAAAGAGCGCTGAATGGTAATTTTTCTTTCAGTTCTTTGAACGTTCTCCTAAGAACGAAGAGCTAGTTTTGTTTACCTCTGTAGTCCATGTTTTGAATTCCTACCACAACAGGAAACTCTCAGAATTAATGATTCTTATCTCTTTGCTCAAACTGGGTTCTCTCTCATTCCTCGGATTCAATTTTTATCACAGTTTGGTTTTGTGTTTTTTAAAGGTATAGTCAAATGACAAAGTATTCTCCTAATCAGCCTCAAGTTGCGGAGCGGGAATTTTAAGGTACACTTTTTTGTAAGTGTAAGATTTGTGCACTATATTCTGACCTAGTAAACGTGTGTGAGACTGTTCTCTACTCCTCGAGGATGTAACCAACATCCTCAGAACTCTCAGGCCGCTGAAATTCTCTCCCACAAAAATATTGCTCCATAGGCAAGTGGCAGGAGCCATTTTATTTTTATTTTCCTGTCTGAAAGGCTTTACAGAGCGCACTCTTCCTCCATTTCCCAACCAAGGCCTGCTGGTACAGAATTAACACGGCTTGTTCACATAAAATGGAAGATACAGTGAGTCTCTCAACTTTGACCTCCCAGACCTACCTACAAGGAAACATTTTACACTCTCAAATTATTTTTTTAACGGAAAAGGGGGACGTATTGAGGGTGTGTGAGACCCGAGAAAGGAAAATTGGGAAATATTTGGATGTTCTTTCTCTTTCCTACAGTAGGGCAGTACCTGAGATTCCTTCTTTGGGAGTTTTTCTAGAAGCAGAAGCAACATCCTGCTTCAGGGGTTAAGGAGGGCGGGACTTCGGGAACGTTCCCCCCTACTTTGAGCAGCTTAGGGCTTTTGAGGGCTATGTCCCCGAGCCCTTAAGTATTTTAAATTCTCCCTAGTTTCTCCAACTGTCACAGTATTCAAGGACCCCCTCTGTTTTTCCCTCCTAAGGTTCAATTTTCCTCACCTTGGTCAGTGCTCCGGTCACAGCCTAGGCTCCGAAAATAGACTGCCGCTCGCTGTGCGTCGCTCTGTTGCCTGGGTAACAACTTTGTTAAACCCCTCTCCCACCTCCCACCTCGGATTCCCGCTTGACTCTGCTAGCCAATCACAGAAGAGTCTCCTTTGAAACAATACCAGAGGCAACCAATCACAGCGCGTCCCGTTCGGGGTCTATGGCCGCCCTTTCTAGTTAAGTAGGTCGACCCCGGTTGAGCTGCAGGCTCCGTCGCGGCTAGCTCCTGGGAGTTCGCTGCTTCCCTGCTGGAGAAGGTCCGGGTCCTGGTCCGCTCGTTTCTCGCCAACTGCTCCTTGCCCGCCTGCGCCTGTACTTCGCGAACGGGTTAGAAAGCTTGCTCCAACACGGAGGTAAGTGCACGACGTTTGCATTTACCCCTCGGGCTTTTTGCATGAATCTTATTTTTTCCCCTTCCTCGGTAGCGAACTCCGGGTCCGAGAACTAGTAACCTTCAGCTATCTAGAGCAGAGGACACGGAAATGGTAGGGCTCGTGGGCTCGGGTTGAGAAGCTTTTGGTGTCTGCGATGCTCTCGCTCTCCACGCCCCCCTCCCGGGACAGAGACACGTGTTGTGCCTCTTTCCCTACTAGGCACTGGCTCACTGGGACCCTGTATGGTGGTGGTCGCGGTGGTGATGGTGGTGGTGGTGGTTGCGGTGGTGGTCGCGGGGATTGCGCTTTTTATTCCCTATAGAGGCAAATCCTGTCCTTTCAGGAGGATCGGCTGACACGATGTTCCATGGGGGCCCACTGTGCCTCCTAAGTCTTCGGAAAGTCTCTTGGCCGGGCGCCCAGCTTCGCCTGCTTTGGAGGGGGGAAGCCTAGGTGTGCGGACTCTTAGCCACCGGTAGAGAACTGAGTATCTTCACCTTAGGGATAGAGTTTCCCACGAATTACCTGATTTAATTTTAAATAAAGGAGAAAAGAAGGAGTAATGGTGCAAAATTACTTGGATGTATGATTTGAGCGCTAAGCTAGGAGACATAGGATGGTTTTAATGAATACTTTTTGTTATCCAGGGAGTGGAATTTGATTACAAAGGTACGGAACTACTGCCCTTGCCTCAGCTGCTGTGCTTTTCATAACTTACCTCATATGGCAAAGAGGAAGTGATAATGAAGTTTTAGTAATGTATCCATTCTCCTTGCTATTATGCAAGATAAAGAAAAATATGAGAGTAGAATTTTAAAATTATTGGCTTTTTAGTCAAATAAGCAACACCATAATCCCTTTATTATTGCCGTGGATGACCACAGTTTAAATGCCTTCCATTTTGTTCAGTCTCTAGATACTTCGATGTGCTGCATGTTATATATGTGCTGCTATTTCTGTTGGTTCTCTTGGTTTGTCTTTGTTGTGTCTCTTTGTGCACTAATCCTAAATCTGTAATATCCAGCCAGTGCTTTGGAAACATTTTTACTATCACTCACAAAAAGAAATACATTTTAAGACGTGTGAGGGAGTGCATCTGTACTGTCAGTACTAGACGGAAGCAGGAGGATCCCAAGCTCAAGGCCAGTCTAGACTAAGTAGCAAGATACTGTCTTTAAAAGAACAACAAAAATAAATAAATTTTATGCCATATCTGTACTGTACACAAGGACGATATAATTGCCACGTTTGTAAAAATCAATATTATGTGCAATACATTTTAACACGTTCTATTTAAAAAAAAATAGTCCACGATCTATTAATAAATTGCTTTTCATTGTGAAAAAGACTGGCCTTAGACCTCTGGGCTTCAGTCTTTTGTATGCCTTTACTGAATTTATGAAAAACACAGATCATTCTGGAATACTCCAGAAACTGGTTTTCTGTGTCTGCAACAGTACCCAGGAAGAAGACGTGATCTATCTATGTTACAGATATGAAGTGTTTTTGTTTTGTATTGTGTCAGATATAAAAAAGTGTTCAGTTTTTCTCCCCCTTGGGGAAATAAATGCTATTTATTTTAGAAATAAAATGGACCCTTCAAGATTTGATTTGCCTCTGAAAGATGAAATCCTTTGCCAAGCACAATTTTCCAAAAGGTTGAGGATATAGGGAATGGTGGTTCCCAGATCAGAGATGAACCTTCCAGACACTTGGCTTCTAAATAAATGTCTTGAAACTTGGAAGTGGGGAAACATTGGGACTTGAAGAACTCAGTGAGTTACCTGGGTTCCTAATGACACTAGTACTCACTTGATTAAGATCACTATTCTTGCCTAGTGTGCTTTACTAGTAGATCAGATCTAGAGGGCAAAAATGAAGTACCGAGTGCCAACCCAAAGCACAGGTAACTGAATTGGACTTGTAGTTTTCCTTTAAAGTAATGAAATTTGAATGATGTGAAAGACTAAGCAAAATACACTTGAAGGTTACTAGCTGTACAAGGGAGATATCACTTAGATAATATTTTAGAATATATATAATTATTTTAAACATTAGTTAAATAATTTATTAAACCAACATTCAAATAAATTAAAGATGAAAATTTCACCCATTCCTGTATCATGATATCATAATCTGATTCCCCACATCTATCCTCATAATCCCAGATTTTATACACGCTTTTGAGACTTGTTTATAAACTTAGTGTTTGCTTAATTTTATCCTGAGAATTTTTTAAAGCACATTCAATATTCTTTAAATTTTGCCTTAATAACATAAACAATATTCCACTCAGTGAGTTGGTTTTACTTTATTTAGCCTAACTAAGCCAACAACAGGAAACTTATTTCTAGTTTTTATGTGTTTACAAAATAAGTGTTAAGTCATGATTACTTAAAAATCCTTTGTACAACTTGAGTTTCTGTTGGACTTAGCAAGAAGCCTAAAGAGAAGACCAAAACTCTGCACTTACATGGGTGTTTGCATTTGGCTGTCTAGTTTCTTTGCTTAAGTAGCAGTGATCAGCTATGGCGTCTTTTATATAGAAGAAGGAAGATGAATGCATTTTTTTCCAAATAGACATTTTCAAAATGATTATTTAAAATACATGAATCGTAGAAGACTCTAGGAGACTCAAGTATCTTAATGACACTCGTGTTGATTAGCCTTCTTTATGAATATCTTCTTCAAAGATTATATAAATGTGTATTAATTTTTGATTTAATTTTTTATAAAGTAGCAAATGAAGTTGACTACAAGGAAAGCTATAATTGATGTCAGAGCACACCTCCCACTTCAAGGCACACATACTATCATATTTTCTGTTCCTCTACATTCTAGAACATTAAGTAGACCTTCCTATAAAAATTATGAAATATTTCAAACAGCAAAAATAGTGATATCCCATCACCCAGGTACTTACTCACTGTAGATTTAAGAGTTACTAAAATTTGGCTATATTTGTTTTAGATGCTGATTAGTTGGGTTGCAGGTTCTTGACTTAGGTGTTGCTATCCAAACTCAGGTCACCTTCAAGAGCAGTTTAATTTAACTACTGATCCATCTCTCCAGACCCCAAATATATTTTTTCATTTAATTTTATTCTTTGAGAATTTTATGCACTGTATTTTGGTCCAATCTATCACTCCCCAACTTTAACTTTTCCCCTTTTAAAAATAAAAATTAAATGAAGCCACAAGTTTTTATTAATTTCATCATTTCTATGGAGTGATGGCTGACAAAAGTGAAAATGTATTTCTTAAAACAAATTCTGCATATCGAGGCTGGAGGGATGGCTCAGTGGTTAAGAGCACTGACTGCTCCTCCAGAGGACCTGGGTTCTATTTCTAACACCCACATAGTAGTGCACAGACACCTGTAACTCCAGTTCCAGCATATTTGACCTGGGTTCATTTCCCAGCACCACATGGCAGCTCACACCTGTCTGTCTTCCAGAGGATTCAGGTTCTAACACCCACATGGTGGTGTAGCGATGCGAGGTGTAACTCTAGTTCCAGGGTATTTGACGCCCTCTTCTGGCCTCCATGAGCACTGCATGCATGTGGTACACAGATAAACACGCAGACAAAACACCAATACACATAAATAGTAATAAATAAATCTTTTAAAGTCACCTTAGAACTAGAGATAATAACACAGTTGTTAGAGTGCTGCCTAGCATACATGGAGTTCTGGTTCAAGTCCCAGCACCTCAGAAAACTGAATGTGGTGGTACATGCTTATTACCTCTGTACCTGGGAGGTAAAGGCAAAAGAATCAGAATTTTGAGTTTATTCTTAGCTATTTAGTTGAAGGCTAGTCTAGGATACATAAAATTCCATCTTTTTTTCCCATTGGTATGTACCACCATGGTCTTCCCTTTCCCAATAACTGCTAACATCACTCACAAAAAAAAAAAAAGAGAGAGACTCATTGCATAGCAACTTACAAGTTTTTCCAGTAGCACACATTTTGCCCCTCTTTGTTCTCGGTGTTCAGATGGACCCAGGGCCTTACACACTAAGAAGCAGTGTAGCATTTTGGCACACCACCAGCATCACACTTGTAGTTTTTTGAAGACTTGTTCTTTGAGGTTTAAAAAAAATTATTATTATTATTTTGGGTAGCATACAAATTATGTTTTCCTTGTGACATTTTCATAGATGGCCATCGTATTTTAATTTGCTTAAATAACACAACCCCTTTACCCTCTCTTCTCCTACTGCCTCTCTCGAGCCCCCTCCCACCCCTAAATAGTCCTCCTGCTTTTATGTCTTGCACTTAAGGGGTTTTTGTTTTCTTTGTTTTTGTTTGTTTGTTTTACAGTTCCAGTTCTTAAAATGAAGTTCTGGTCTTCCAGCTTTACGACATCCTACCAGGAATGAGGGAAATGTACTTAGTGAGATAATCAGAACGTTCTGCTCCATAAAATATTTTAACAGGGACCCAGAACCAGCACATGTTTTTCAGAATCCCTATATTTTGTTTGACTTCAAATAATATGACCACCTTTATACATTTGATTCTTCCCTATTTTCTTCAAAATGTATGCACAAATTCCACCTTTCTCTAGCCATTGCTTACTGGTGACTCATTTAAAATAAGCTGTCATTAACTAAAATATTCAGAGTTGCCAT